ATGGAAATGGAGAAAGTAGATACATTAGTTTTTTTAAAGTATTGTTTTTCATGAACAACAATTTTGTTATCTCCTCCATTTAAAATAATTTTATGTAATACAAATTTTCATATGAATCAAAAAAAAAGAGAAACAATAATATAATTTATAATGGCAAAAAGTTAAACTTAATGAAGTTTAAAAATTTAATATAAACAAGTTCAATGAATTCTATACAAATAGTAGCCTATTATATTATGCTTGTCTCTATTCTATTAAATCGAAGAGAGAATTTATTATTTCTAATATAATAGATTCATTTCTACCATGAAATCAAATTGCATAATTCTGTAAAAAATAGTTGTTATTCTGAAGTTCTTGTAAATTCTTATCAAACCTAAATCTCTTAAATAACTTGTTATTAAAGTGAATAGCAATATCGAATGACTTGAATAAAAATTTTAAATCTAACTATTTATATATATAAATCGGATTTTAAATCGATCTTTTTTAATTCTTCAAAGACATTATTATATATTTATGCATATAAATTATTTAGTCAATAAAAATATATATGTGCATATTTTTGTGAAATTAATAGATATATTTGATATTAGATATATGATGATATTATATACAAATGATAAGATTCAATGAAAAATTATTGCAACAGATAACATTATTGCAAAACAGAAATTTATTACATTTGTCCATCACTGTTATTAGAATCATTATCCTAATTGCAATAGAAAGGTATATCAATTGGAATATTATTGTATAAAAGAAATAAAAATTGATAACAAATGAGAAAATTATATTCTATTTATGTAACTAGTTTTTTTGAAATGATTTAAATCTATCTAAATTATTAAATTAAATAACCAATTTAGTCTCATAATTAAATTAAAAGATTATTAATTTATTTTAAATTTGATTATATTTATTTATAAGAAATAGTGAATAGTAAATAAAATCTTTATATACATTAATAATATATTATAATTATAATAATCATCTATATCATTAATTATATTATATATAATTAATATTATAATTTAAATAATCATTTATATCATTAATTAATTATTTCTTTTTTTATGAAAAATTAAAGTTTGATTAAAAAATAAAATTGAGAATATTAAATAATACAATTCAATTTCTTACGATTTTTATAAGTATGACTTTTTGTTAAATCAATAAGAATAGTTTTCACGTGTTACGAGAATACATGGGTGGTGATTGCATTAAGGACGTACTGGCAATAAATTTGCACCGATATTGATAATTTTAAAAAAGAAAGATGAAAATCAAAATAATGGTCATTATTATAAACAATTAATATGATGATAAATTGAATTTTTTTATGATTCTATTGAGTAGTACTAATAAAATTTATTTAAATTTTAGAATCAATACTATTACTACTATAATAATACTATTTTTTAAAAATAAAGAAATTAATTATAATTTATTAAACTTATATAATTATATATTAGAAATGTTTTGATGGCAAAAAAAAATAATAACTAGAATTTCATATTTTTATATTCTTAAAGAATTTCTGTTTTAAATTCTGGATTGAAATAAAATTTTTTCAAGATAGGTATTAAACTAAAAAAAAAAAAAAAAAATAAATAAAAGTATAGAAGAAAATATATAGATATTAG